TAGCAGAGTCATGCAAAGTGCCACAATAGTCCGTGTAATGTGAAGGCCACAACAGCTAAGTAAGACTGAAGCCAATAGGTATGAGGAAACAGAATGAACCACCACCAGTAGATGCAAAAAATAAACAAGCCTTTATTATAGCTTAAAGATGCCTGCTGAGCATTGAGCCAAATCTTACCTAGGACTCGAACGGGAGAATGACCATGTATACATCAGCTTGATAGAGACTGCATTCATAATAGCGCCAGTCCAAAAGAGTGACCTGTGTAAAGATGAGGTGAGAGCCACAGTTCTCTGCATCTGCAGCCATGGAATCTAAATGATTGCATTGTAATGGAATGCCAAGGTTAGTAAAATGATCAAATGTAGTTAAGTTTTAAGCAGAAAGCATAAAAACGCTTAAGCATAAATATCGGAACTGTAAAACAGAACTATTCTCTGGCTTAACTCCCACGAAAGCTTGATAGACTCTGCAGACAAGACTCCATTTAACCATAGGAACCCGACGAGTGAACCTTCAAAGAAACCAGATCGCATGAAATACAAGTTAAAGAAATATTAGGAATGTATGCCAAGGTTAGCAAAATTATCAAATGTAGTAGTTAAGTTTTAAGCGGAAAGCGTAAAACGCGCAAGCATAAATTGCGCAACTGTAAAACAGAACTATTCTCTGGCTTAACTCCCACGAATGCTTGATAGACTCTGCAGACAAGACTCCATTTAACCATAGGAACCCGACGAGTGAAATTTCAAAGAAACCAGATCGCATGAAATACAAGTTAAAGAAATATTAGGAATGTATGGAACTAGGACAAAGATAGAAAAATAAATCTTGATACATTGCCCTTGCAGAAGGATAAGAACGCTTTACATTTAACAACGATGCCTTACTAGCTAATTAAACTTCAATAGCTATTGAACCCTGTAAAAGCATAAAGAAAGCCCTTACGCAAAGATTTTTGCACGACTTTAAAGCAGATGTCATGAATGAGCATACGCTGACCAGGACATTAAAGTCACGGGGCACAAACTAAATTAACAGAATTGCAGTGGCGGGCCGTGCATTTTACACCTAGGCCTTCAGTGGCGTCCTACATGAATTAATCCATCTCTTCATACCATCATAATGATGCCACGGCTATAGAAACCATAAATATTACACAGTAATGCAGTATAACAGGGCACTACATAACAGATAGGTATCTTATGTAGCGAGAATGAATGCCATTACTAAAGAAAGAAACCCAATTAACAATTGCGCAACACATCATCTGTAGCTAAAGCATTAACCTAACAAAATGACACAAATACAGTCCATCCGATGTTCTGACATTTATTCACCCAAACGCATTTATACTTTACAGATAGCATTGGTATAAAACAAATAAGGTGACTACATGTGTTTTAAAGTTGACCTAACAATTTAATGTTCTCTTAATGCTTTATTTCGTCTTCACGAGTCTCCCCGCCGGTCTTCCAGCGCACGGTCTTTTCCAGGAAAAGACCGGTTATAATACAGCTCCACTCGAGAAACTGAGATATTCTTACGGAAACTTAAACCTGGCTTTATATCGTGCAAATAACATCAGCATACAACGCATCAAGCGATAAAAGAGTCAAAAATGAAAATTAACCTACCATACTCTAGTGGTTTTTCATCTTCACGATTCTTTCACAGAGCCGGTGCCGAGGAGGTGTGTGGTTGTTTTTCGCAGTCATTAGGACTACTGCTTTTAGATTTACTAAATATAGTAGGCAAATATTTTTTCAAAATGCACTGAAAATCTAAACCTGAGGAACAGTAATAAAAGTTTTACTAAGTTTTAATAAAATGATTTACAGTGATGCTGTTTGCTAGCTAGTATGCTGACCATCCAATCAAAGGACGAGAAAATGCTGACGTTATCGTTAGCCAGCTAGATGGCCCTGGTGCTGCCAACTCGAAATCTGATTGGTTAAAGCAACGGTTTCATTGCCATTGATTTAAGCTAACAGACGCCTGCACTGTTGATTCTGAAGGCCTTAAGGCAGATTTATTTGACCCTGGCAACACGATTGCTGAAATATGATTGGATAAAAGCTCTAATATAAACATACACTGCTGGAAGCAGTGCAACCAAGAGAAAAGCTATGAACTGAAGAGAATAGACTATTGGAAATAATTTAATGCACATTTATTGAAAAATATATTAAACTAAATCAGTTATTCTGATAGTGTTTAGGCCAGCAGAGAAGGCTTTGCTGGCCCTGACGGCCCACCACTGCAGAATTGTAGTAATTATAACCTCCAAGTCCAAACATTAACAAAGTTGAGGAGGAAATCCGGAGAGGAAGTCATGTCTATAGACAGGAAGTACGTAAAACACATCAGACTATAGAAAGGCCTTGACGAGTACAAGTTCCAAGATAGAATATTTTAATGCTCACCACATAGAAAAAGAGAGCGCCAGCTGGTTATTTATCAGAGCAGACTAATGCCACATAGCTAAGCTAGAGCTAATTACGTTAAATATAATATGTCCTGAGAATAGTAAAAGAATAACAGATTAGACAAAACTATGATGAAATTCTTAGTTAGTCAATATATTGTGCTTTGGGAAAACTTTAATGTTTGAACATAGCAAGAAAACGTGTCCATTTACAGTCTTGCTCTTATTCAGAGGACGCTCATGCAGAAATAGACAGCGAGGACCTCTTTGAAGAAATGGTCAACGCAACAGGAGAGACTTGAAGTCGTAATACTTACCCCATTCCAGTACAAGGCATTCAGGAATTGTTGTAGATAGACGGCAAATGAAACAATCATATGCTTTTGTCTTTTTGTTTCTTCAGTCATTAAGACAACAGATAACTTGCAGTGTGCTAGACATAGCGCATTTTACAGAAAGGTAGGCTATAATGCGAGCAACATAATCTTTATCAGTGTAAAGATGGTAAGCCTATAATAATGAGCCTCAAGATGCCTCATTACAAAGAGTTATCCCAAACATTGAATGTATTGAATTAGAGCAAACATCTCGTTAAATATTATAACTGTAATAACTTGAGGAGGCATGAGATCTGTTCAAGAGTGCATTTACCCAACAGAATGCATCAACCAGCAGTACACTGCATCACCTCACAGGTGGAGTCAATTTACACACCCACCAAGTTCTTCTCTGCTGCTTTTTAAGCAAATACCAATCCAGCTTTAGCCTGCCCTCTACAGGTCATCACTACAACTGACACTTCATTGTCACTCTACAACATCCCTTTTCCCCCAAGCTTACATAATAATCACAATTACATAGAAAAAATTTTAAAATAATAATATAGCCTCACAGTTTACAATTCACTTTTTTTTTTTTTCAGTCTTCAATTCACATTCAATATTACTTCAGTTCATAATCTTTCAAATGGGTAGGCAACTTCCTGGTTCTTTGTGACCGTCTCATAATTACAACAGGACTAGCAGGTTTGTTCATTTCAGTGATTATCTCCGAATGTTGAGAGGAATCCCCAGATGCTTCAGAGGGATTAGTTTCACTAGAAATGTCCTCAGTCTCTGTTCCCTCAGTCTCTTTAGCAACTACAGGTGTTGAGTTTCCAGGAATGTCGAAATCAGGGAATTCACAGTCCATTCCCTCTTCTGAAGTGTTTACAAGCAATTTCTGTCGGGCATGAATTTGATCCACATGCCGTCGAGCCACTCGCCCATCGCCCACCATTACTTTATAAGAAAGTAGTCCAGTCACAGTCGCTATATGACCCGGAATCCATTTCGGTCCATAAGTAAAGTTCAGAGTAAGTACTGGATCTCCAACACAAAAACTCCATTCACGGGCCTTTTTATCATGATAGATTTTTTGCTTTTGTTGTTGTTCATGAATTTTCCTTGTCAAATCAGGATGTATAAAGTCCATTGAACAGCGTAATTTCCGTCCATGCAACATTTCCGCTGGAGAGAGCTCTGTGGTAGTCTGGGGAGTGATCCTGTAACTGAATAAAACTTGAGACAATTTAGTTGCAATTGTTCCATCAACACATTTTTTTAGCATGGTTTTAACAATTTGGACAGCCCGTTCCACTAAACCATTACTAGAAGCATGGTAAGGTGCAGAAGTAACATGCCGTACTCCATTTTTATGAAGGAACTCTTTGAATTCGGCACTAATGAAGCAAGTACCATTATCTGATACAATCAGTTCAGGTAATCCATGGTTACTGAAGCTCTTCCGCAAACATTCAATAGTGGA